TTACAGAATACATTTTGGGGCATGTATTCTGTAATCTGTAGTGGAATACATTTTAAAAGTAACCTTCCCAACACTGGACATATGAAGTACAATCATTCCATCCTGGGAAACAAACAGTCCAAGGAAATCATTAAGAGCCCAAATTTACTCCTTCAACTTTTCCAGGGTGCCACAAAGGAGTTCCCAAGCCAGCCAAGAGTCATAATCAAAGTGACCAATGCTGGGCACAGTCACTACTCAGAGGAATGTCATTTCCTCCACCTGAATTTGCATTCTTCTACTTTAGGTCATTACACACAACTCGTGCCCACAGGTGACGGTGTAAACGCAGACAGGCTGGTAAATCGAGTGCTTCATTTTCATGCTCTGCACTCTCTTCACAACAGACTGTTTGTGTTTGATGCCGTTCAACACAAACGCCTAAAGCCAGAAGGCCAAAGATGTTGTGCTGGGAACAACCAATCAAGATATTCATTACAAACTCTCACCTCTCTAGTGTTATTACCACCTATCTGATTTTACAAGGGCAAAGTTAACTACAGTGGAACATCTCACATCAAGTTTATCTAAGAAGAGCTGGATTATGAGTCAGTGGCTTATTGCAGATCCATTTAAAGGTCCTTGAAGCACATTTAGTCCAGCAGCTTTCCAGCTAACTGGTGTTCTCCACTTCAGTTGAGAAGCTAATCATTGATGGTTAATTAATGCACACACCATGGATCAAGAGATCTGTCGGAAAGAAAAGAGAGGAGAAACCACTGAGCCACGTTAATTAAGTTGGTTCACACCAAAGTAATTGCAGGCAAACAAGCTTATATGTTCACAGGATGAAAGCACCTTTGATTGTTTGGACTAGATAGCAACACAGGAGCACTCATGTTTAAGGAGGGGCAGTGAAAAGCAGGGATACTTGATAGCACTGTGCGCTATTGGATATTACATTGTTCTCAAACAAAATTACTTTTGGAGGCTTAATCAATGTCATGCTCGGTGATTTGAGTGAAAACCAAGTGATGGGCTTACTCAATGACAAATCACTTTTAAGACACTGATGTGGCGATAGCAAGTTGTTTAATAGGCTCTATTCCAGAATTAAATTGTCATGCTTTATCAACTTTGATTGCATGTTCTTCCATCTGTTCACACACAATGAGCAATTTGGAAACGAGGACGATGCATCAAGCAGGATGTCATTTTAAATGGGATCACTTTGATTGCTTCAGATGTTATTAGTAGCCAACAAAGAGGAAAGACAGGACTTTGAAATCAGTTGGACGACCCATCTCAGGCGTTTGTTCTGGGGATTGTAAATGTAAATCTTGGATTATCTTCCCTGGAACCATTATCACATTTGTGCAATTGTACAAAATAATCATACTCGTTGTCTTTTAAAAGCTGCTGTCATAGATTGCACTCAGCATGACATTCAAGTCTCAACTCCCATCTTGAATCGGCCCCCGCCCCCCTTTCCTGTTGTCACGCTGTTGTGTCTGTCAATCACTCGTCTGACTGGCTTGAATGCCGTCTCTCTCCGCATCATAAATCCTGTTTTATTCATAGGAAGAGTCTGCCCCTGACTGTGCAAGTTATGTAAACGACAGGACAACTGAAAGGACAATCCAAAAATAGACACATTTAATTATACATTACTGCAACCAATCCTGCAGCAAGTACAGTAAATATCGGGCACCCTTAGTTTTAAAGCAACTGCCACCGAACAACAGCTTTCAAACAAATTAGCCCAGCATGTTGTTAATTCACACAGCTGAGGAATGATTTTCTAAATTAAATGACGATTTACAATAACAAAAGCTTTGCCAGATGATAGTATGCAGATTTTCTTTTTTCCAGTGCTCTGGAGACATAATTAAGCCTCAATAGGCAGAAAATAGTGTGTAAATTTAGGCATAAGCCCAATGATGAGCAAAAGATAAAAGAAGAGCTAGCTGATATAATGAAAACCTAGTCTCATG